AACTTGGAGGCAGGAGCTGGAGCACAGGCCATGGAGGAACGCTGCTTACAGGCTTTCTCTCCTGGCCCTGCTCAGCCTGCTTTCTTATGCAACACAGGCCCACCTGCCCAGGGGTGGCACCACCCACAGTGGGCTGGGCCCTCCCACATCACTCATCAAGAAGATGCCCTTCAGACATGGCTACAGGCCAATCCAATAGAGGCAATTTCCCGATTGAGGCTCCCTCAACCCAGGTGTGTCAAGTTGACACTAAAGCTATCCAGCACAAATAGCAAAAGTGATTAGAGCTTGTCCTTCTCCTGGGTCCAGCAGGCAGAGATTTCCAGGTCAGACACTGTCCTGTAGACACCTTTTGAAGAGGAAGAGAGAGTCCCCAACAGGTGGGAAAGTCACAGATTCCCCATCTTGGAGCTGAATGGGGCCAGAGCTCTGTGGGAGGCCTCCCTTTTCAAGGTTCCACCTTCTTCACAGGGGCAGAAAGGAACTCTCCAGGGAGCCCTAAGATCTAGCCTGCCCTCTCCATACCTCAGGAGCACCTATGTTCCCTGTCACCTTTTCTCAATCCTGTGTAATGGAAGGAAGGGGCAGGGCCTGGGCAGGCATCTTGTCCCCATCCCAAGGGACAATTGACCCTGAACAGGTCACAGAATTGTGAATTGTGTAGGTATCCCAAGATCCGGTAAGTTCTAGAATGTACAGGGTCTGCCTAAGGTGGACAAGAAGGCAGCATCCATGTCGGGCCCAGCCATTGGTTCTGGTTCCCAGCCAGACTCTAACCACCTTGCCACCAAGGATTCAGGAAGTGAGTCCATGGGTGTGAATAGGAGGGCTTTGGGTCAGCCAGTCTCCAACTGACTGACTAGGTGGGCATGAGCTTTCTGGCCCTAGGAATAGTTGTGGCAGAACCTCACAGGATGTGACCATGTTAGCCAAGCCTTTCCTATCCCACCCCCATCTTCCCCTTACCCCCCCCCCATCCACTGGGCCCCTGGCTTAATCCAGCTTAGTGAACACACAACCCATAGGGCACTGCCCAGCTCAGCATTCCAGGATACAGAGCCAAGCCCACTCCTGTCGCTCCATGATACGGCCAGGATGAGGCCTAGAGAAGGCCAGTAACAATAGAGAAGATCCTAGGAGTTGGGGATGGATACCAGGTGGGTGTATTGGGGCTGGAGGGGCAGGTGGGCATCTGAAGTACACAGAGTAATCAAGGCAGCCCATTTGTGGCAATGGCAAGCTGTTGAGGAGGTCTGACTTCCCATCTCCCTGCCCTGCTATACCCATAGGCCCTGTGGTAACTTCGAGGTAGATGGAGGGACTCAAGACTCCGGCCCTGCACATGCCTCCCTGTGGCTGTGGGCAAACCCATTTTTCCCCCTTGCTCATGCTTGCTAGGCGAAATGGCTACCTCACTGCTTTGAGCATGCCCTTTACATCTCTGAACTGACGTAGGTATGCTGAGTAAGGGGTGAAGAACTTGGAAAAACCAGGTGGGATTTCACAGCAGGCAGAAAGGTAGGCAGTGTGGTGAGCCACGTGAAGTCCTGGGGAGGAATGCAGACTAGGAGATGGGTGGGGAAGGATGATTTTTGCTTCTGCTTCTAGGAAGCTCACATGGTCTCTGATGTGAACTTGGGGGATTTATTACCATGGTCTTTGGCTACTGTTTGATGCTGTTGTCTTGTGGCTCATTTATGAGTCTTGTTTTAAATATTTTTCTATGTTAACACTCACTCATATGATTCAGGGGCTCTAGAGGGTTGGTGGAATGTGATGGAGCACACACAGTAGAGTGGGGATGAGCAAGGGCAGGACAGAGACAAGAGACCTTGTACAGAGCTGCTAGGCTACCCACACACTACCAAGAACCTGGAGAACTATGGGGTATCTGCTACCTCTCAACAGGCCTCAGCACACTCGCTCCAAGGCAGCAGGCAAGAGGACCGAGTGTGGGCCTCTTGACATGGAGGTAGCCTAGCTATGTGGTATGAAAGGGACAGACCCCAGACCTCATCCTGCCTGTTGACATGGACAGCTCCTTCAGTCTGTGGATAACATGGGGGAATTCGAGGAATCAGCCCACAGGGCTCCACTCAGGAGATGAGGGTGTGTCTCCCCCCACAGCACTGCATCCTCCTTTGAAGTCCCCCAGCCCAAGTCTCCCAATCCACCCCGTGTACTCTGCATCTTTTGTGAGGCTAGCCCAACACCATCAGGCTTCCCTTCATGATCAGCAACAAGGCGACAGGAACTGAGGCTAGCCTGAGCCAAGCTTAGAGTATGGAGAGGAATAAAAGGCTATTCCATGGGTCTCATGGTAACAGCAGCCCAAAGCAGGAAGTGGACTGAGCTCTGGGTTGAGGACCTGGGTTCCAGATTTGGCCTTGTTACCACCTTGCTATATGACCTCAGAACTTCAGTTCCATCATATCAGAATGAGGTAGCGGTCTCTGCATACTCACCTCACAGGGCTTCTGTGAAGATCTGGAATGCTCCTGGGTTACCCAGAAAGACACTCTGTCCCCACTTCACTGCTTCTCAAATCCACTGGCACTAAACAGCAAAAAAAGTGCCTTCTGGTCTAGCTACTGGGGCCAGCTACACTTTTGTCAGGGTCCCTATGAGCACAGGCTCTGTGGACCTATTGTTCCCATCTCACAGTGAGAACACAGGCTCAGAGTGACTGCCAAACTCCATCCCTCTAGCTTCCTGTTCTTTTCCACTCTGCTTTTCTGGCTGTACAGATCATGCCCCATCTCTAGGTCAGCAGACCAGGGGTTAGGGGGTGCCCTGCCCCTTCCATAGGTCTTAGCTGGGAGATGGTAGAGGGAGGTGTCTGGAGCTAGGATTCTTAAAGGAGTGTCATGGCAACCAGTCCTCAAGCCCCAGGGCTGTAGGGAGCCTGCCTACCTTGTAGAGGCTATCCAATCCATCCATGCTCCCCAGAGGAGGCCCCAAGACACCTCCCATCCCTGCCTACTCCCCCAGCCTGAATCCCAGTCTTTACTGGACTGGCATGAATTCTAGGGTTGAGCTCAGAGACCTGTGGCAAGATGGTTAATATAAAAAGAAACAGTAGGTAGAGATACTGGCCAAACTCAGTGACATGCAACTGCACAGAGGCCTGAAACTGAGTGGGCCTGGCTTCAGTAGGGCTGGGTGGTTTCCTGGACTGAGACAGAGGAAAGACCTGAAGAGGATCTTCAGGGATTGAAGGTGTGAGCACTAGGTGTTTGGGCAGATGTGGTTAGTGGCCCACAAAGGCCTATCTGTAGAGCATCCCTCACCTAGTGCTTTGTGTCACTGCTCTAGCAGCCCTTTGAGATCACACTGCATGGCTCCTCTGTCCCATGGACAGTGTGAAATATGCACAATGCTCGGTGCACCATAGGCCGGTACAGCAAGGGTGGGCAAAGGCAGTGCCAGGAGTGGCAGCTGAAAGCACTCATATGGGTGTAGGCTCAGGAGACGTGGCCTCTCCTGCTGGATTAAAGGTGCCCAGGAAGGGCAAATCCAGTGGTCCCTGCCTTGGACCTCACTCCTTCCAGGGATAGGTAAGGTCAGAGCTTTCCTCTCCACGTAATGACAGGGATAGGATGATCCACCCCTGCTTCCTAAGAGTATAATAGCACCATCTATGGACATAAAAGGAACCTGGATGTCATAGCAGGCCACAAACTTGAAGAGGAAACCTTAAAAGCAGTATGATTAGTTTAATTGAAAATTTGACACAATCTAGAATCACTTGGGAATAGAGACTCAGTGAGGGACTGTGTACATTGAGTTGGCCTGTGGGTAGGTCTGAGGGGGGTTGTCTTAAGTTAATTGATGTGGGAAGTCCCAGCCTACTATGAGTGGGACCATTCCCTAGGCAGAGGTTCCTGAATTATATGAGTGGACAAGTAGAGCTGAGCACAAGCCAGCAAGCCAGCATATGTGCATACATTTTTCTCTACTCTTGACTGTGAATGTGATGTGACCAGTGGCTTCAGGCTCTGCCACCATGAGTTCCCAGCAGTGACAGACTATGTATTTTGAAATGATAAACCCTTTCTCCCTCCAGTTGCTTTTATCACAGTATTTATCACAGGGTATTTTATCACAGTAAAAGAAATGAAACCAGAGCAGCAGTATTATGGCTGAGTAGGAGGCATACACCTGTAATTCCAGCACTCAGGAGGCAGGAGGATTATGAGCTCTAGATCAGCCTGGGCTATGAGCAAATTCTGGGCCAGTCTCAGCTACGTAGTGAGACTCACTCTCAAAACATCTCCTCCCTACTTAAAAAAAAAAAGGCAGAGTTATGTGATACAGACTATAAAGTAGCTTAGGGGTTTTGTTTTTGTTTTGAGAGGGGTGTGTGTGTATGTGTGTGTGTGTGTGTGTGTGTGTGTGTGTGTGTGTGTGTGATGGTACTGGGGATTAAACCTCAGGCCTCCCACATGCCAGGCAAGTGTTCTATTACTAAGCTATTTCCTCAGTCCTCCTTTTACTTTTTGAGACAGAGTCTTACTAAGTTACCCAGCTGGCCTTGAACTCACTCTGCAGCCTAGGAAAGCCTTGAACTTGTAATCCAAAACCTTGAATTTGTAATCCAAGTAGATGGGATTACAGGTCTGCACCATGCCCAGCCAGTCCTGGTTCTTCTCAGACAAAATTGTAGTATCTCTGAGCCAGGAAGTATAGCAAAATGTGGCTTGATTTCTTCAGCCAAAGCCAGAGACAGGCCTCAGAGACCAAGGCTGCCTTGGGTCCAGGTGAGGACCAGCACACAGTGAGGATGTACCAGCAGAGAGCTGGCCCCATCTATGATGAGCAGTACAGGGAGGCAGTATGTAAACCAGTGACAATTGAGGTCAGGTCAGGCCAGGCCTGCTTCAAGTAGTACCCTGGCTGAGGCAAGCTGACCAGGCCAAGGCCTGAGGCTCACCAGAGGTTGGTCTCCTCCAGGCCTGCAAGGATTTTCTGGAACTAGCCGAGATTCACAGCCGGAAATGGCAGCGGGCACTGCAGTATGAGCAGGAGCAGCGTGTCCATCTGGAGGAAACCATTGAGCAGCTGGCCAAGCAACACAACAGCCTCGAGAGAGCCTTCCACAACACCCCTGGCCGGCCAACAGACCCCAGCAAGAGCTTCAGCGAGGGTGCGTGTCCTAGGAAGGCTGGCGGGTGGGTGGGCCTGCTCCAGCACCCAGCTCTCAGCCTCCTCCTACTCAGCTGGCTCTACTTTCTACCACACATCCCAGCCTCCATAAACCTGCCCCTGACTTCATCTGGGCTTGTCTTGCCAATGGTGGCCTGCCTCTCTGTGACTGGCAACAGTCTGCCCGTGTCTGGGTTCAAATTCTCAAATGTTCAGTGAGCTCAGCTGTCATCTCTGGGGCTGCCCAGGTGTCAGGTGGCCACAGGCAGGCTGACTAGCATATTAACAGATCAGGGGAGGCTTCTAGAAGATGTCTGAGCAATGAATGAATTGAAAAGAAAATGCCTTATCCCAACAAAGCAAATCAGGGCAGCCGCACTGCAGGGTAACCAGGGCCAGGTGTCTGAAGTGGGAAGGCAGGGTTAGCAGGATCAAGGGGCCAGGCTGAGCTCTAGACTGCATCAGGCAGCAGGATGCAAACCTCAAAGCAGCTCTGCATGTCTCTAGGAAGCTTCTTGACTTCCAAAGGAGAGGACAGTGAGGAAGATGAAGATACCGAGTACTTTGATGCAATGGAAGACGCTACATCCTTTATCACCGTGATCACTGAGGCCAAGGAAGACAGGTGGGACCACTGTGGCCTGGGAGGTGCTTCCTGCTGCCCAGTCAGCCTTTCCTGCATTATTCTTAGGCTCCATCTGGTCTTTTGTCCAGATGTCTACTTGGGGTGTGGTGTTCTTTCTGTCTTGTTCCAGGTAGTATTGCTTAGATTATGTTCTTTCATATATATATATATACATATATATTCTATATATACATATATTCTATATATACATATATTTCATCTATCCAGCTACTTTGTGTCTTTTAATTGAAGAGCTAAGATCATTTACATTTATGGCTATTATTGAAATATATATATATATATATATATACTTTTTTTAAAGCCAAAATGGTTTGGTTTGCTTCTGGAGTTTAACCTAGGTGCTGGCTGGATCCACTTTCAGCCTGGAGAAGGAAAAGGGGGAGAGGAAGAGACAGAAGACCCCAGCTGCTCAGAACAGCACAAAATCGCTGTTCTCCCTTCAGTCTGTGTTTGAGAACACAGGAGATACCCGGTCTTGGTTTTCTATTGCCAACCCTCTGTTTCATTACTCATAAAATCCTGTTCATTCAGACCATTTCTAGATTCACAGGTGAACATATAATTGTGACCTATAAACAAGGAGGATGTCAGATTCTCAGGAAATGCTTATGGCTGTGGTTCATGCTGATAAACAGACAGGTGCAGGGGAAAGCATGAGGCAGGCAGACTGGGTAGAAACTGTGCTCGGGGTGCACAGGCTGGTAAAAAGCCTTGGCCACTCATTGACCTTTAGTTAAAGTCTCTGTGGACCAGCACTCTTCATCACTTCCTGCCCCAGTGTCTTCTGGGAAAAGACTGTTCAGTCCCACCAGCAGTGTTTCTCTTAGCTCAGAATCATTCTCTATTTCCCAGTAATATTTTTTTAATATCTTTATGCTGAGTGTGGTGATGCTCGCCTTTAATCCCAGCATTCAGGAGACAGAGGCAGGCAGATCTCTGTGAGTTCGAGGTCAACCTCATCTACATAGTGAGTTCCAGGCCAGTTGGGGCTACAGGGAGACCCTGTCTCAAAAGTCCAAAAAAATTTGCAAATTTATAAAATAAAATTTTTCATTTTTTATCAAGTGTTCTTCCCTCTGTGACTCCTCCATTAGTCTCTACATTTGACTAAAATGTTAGTTCCCCATCAATAGTCCTTTAAAATGATTTTCTTTCTTCTTTTTTCCTTTTTACAACTCCACATCCCTTATTTTTTAAAAAAATACAAAATAAAAGGTAATCAAAATGTTCTGTTGGGCCAGAATAGCTTTAGATGCCTATTTGTTTTAACAGTTTTCAACTACTGGATATTTTTGCTTACACACTTAGCAACTACTAAAATGCTCCCTTTCCTCCCTTTTCACAATGTTGTTCTGTCCTTAATGCTTTCCCTTCTTCCACTCAGGACTGAGTGTGAGGTTTGTTGGTTTATTTAAAATATCTTTTAAAGGATAGCAATAGCCTTCTTAAATTCCTTCCAAGCTTATCATGGCTTGAGCACCTGAACTTCCTCTCCTGTTGCCACCAGCATCCATCCTGCTGGCTCTGCAACCAAGACAGTCCCGCTTGGCTGTCCTCACTCTGTCCAAGCTAAAGCCTCCAGGCTCTGAGCTCCCCACAATCACCAGGTATTTCTTTCCCCTCCCCTGAAGCCCTGGAGCAGGAGTAGTTCTGTCTGATCCACGCTGCCCCTCTATAAGATCCTAGAACCTGGATCCTTTTGCTTTTGTGGACATCTCTACCACAAGTATAAGGGGAACGAACAGGGGTGCATTAGACCCACTTTCTGCACTTCAAAATCTCTAGTCTATTGTGGGAGGCACTCCAGCAGACAGTGATGACATACTGGGGTCTTTGTGGAACAGAAAGGGAGCTGTACAAGACTCTCCCAAGGATAATACCCACCACCTGCTCTCTTCTTGGCCCTGGGTCAGCCAGGAAGGGCTTGGGTACAAGTACTCTAGAAAAGGGCTTTGCTGAACAGCAAGCATGGATGGATGGGGTCTTGATGGTGCATGCAGCCTTGGTGGATAGGGCTTCCCCATATCACTGCCTGGGTCCCTTAGCCCCACCTCTGTCCTGAACTGGAGATGACCCATTGGAGAAGATGCCTTGGGGCTGCCCCTCATACCTCAAAGAAATTTGGGGAGAAGGTAGGCCAGGTTAAAAGGAGGTATCAAAATTCATCTGTAATTTGTCTCCCCCTTCATTTTCTGCAGGAAAGCCGAGGGTGGAACTGGGCCAAGCGCTGTGGACTGGACCTCAGCAGACAATGTACGTGAGTTGGAAGCAGCCAAGAGGCAGCCAGGTGCCTCAGCTTTGGGGGATGGGGAACTGGAAACACTGTGAGCTCAGGGCCACCTTTGGGTCCCAGATCTGCATTCCATTTAACAGGGAGGTGGCCTCTGTCCTTCCTATCAGCAGCATGCCAGCAGCTGGCTTGGTTCCAGTCCTTGAAGGATCAAGAGACAGCAGGGACCGAGAGGGCTAAGGGAGCTCAAGGATCCACTGACGGGCATGCCTTGCTTCTCTGGCAGGTGTTAGATGGTGCCTCACTCATGCCCAAGGATTCATGCAAAATCAAGAGGCGTGTCCGTATCCCAGACAAGCCCAACTACAGCCTTAACCTCTGGAGCATCATGAAGAACTGCATCGGCCGTGAGCTCTCCCGGATCCCCATGCCGGTGGGCAGCTCTGGCCAGGAGTCATGGGGGCTTCTGGGCTGTGATACATATGGTGCCCTGGGGTATTATTTAATTCATGGCATTTGAGAGGGTGCATGTAACTGATTCTTCCTGTTCCTCACCACCAGCCAGTCCCACAGAGAATGGGGGCCTTCAGACTCTGAGGGAAAGAGCAAGGGAGAAATTCTGTGTGATCAAGAGCTGGGGAACCCCAGATTAATGGGGCCTCACAGTGTCCCCGCTGTCCCTGCCTGGTTGATGGTGGTGGCAGGGGTAAGCTTTGGGGATGGACAGGTAGTCTTCTTCATGACAGGGCCTGTTCCTTGTGCACTCCTAGGAAATGGAGGCTCAGCAAGGTCACACAGAGGTCCAAGGACAAATCTAGAGTCCTCATGTCAACCAGGCTGCAGTGTCATCACCAAGGAAGGGCTTGGGAGCTCCAGGCCATCCTGTTTCACTGTGTAACACACAAGTCCCTTTATATCTCTAGTCTCTTATGTCCACACTGTACAAGTGAATCACAACACCCCCTTTAGAATGTCTGGAGGATGGAGTGAAATAATGTTAGCAGACTCACATTCCAGTGGAGTACAACCCCACCCTGTCTGAGGCTAATGGACAACATCCATCCATCCTGCATAGGCCACACCAGGACAGAGATCTTGACAGAAAACTTCTGAACAAGAAGACCTACGACTACCAATTATGGATCCACATACCCACTGTTTCTGGCCCTGAGCCTAATCCAGCACTGATCACATGGTGGCAGACCAGATACCCTGGCCTTTAGGGAGTTGACATCCTAATGTGTGTGTGGGGGGGGGGGGGGGAGAATGACATCATCAGGGTACATCATATGACATGTCAGCAAGTGACACGCCGTGGGGGAAACTGAGGCAAGGGATACTAGGGAGGAGGGGCTGAAGTGCTAGGCCTCACTGTGAAGGCACCACCAAAGCAGGGCTATCCCTCAGTGTCTGGGAAGGACAGGAGTGCTCTGACAACAACCTCCGGCAACACCCACAGGTGAATTTCAATGAGCCCTTGTCCATGCTCCAGCGGCTTACAGAGGACCTGGAGTACCACCACCTGCTGGACAAGGCAGTGAACTGCGCCAGCTCCGTGGAGCAGATGTGCCTGGTCGCCGCCTTCTCTGTGTCTTCCTATTCCACCACCGTGCACCGCATTGCCAAGCCCTTCAACCCCATGCTGGGGGAGACCTTCGAGCTAGACCGCCTTGAGGACATGGGCCTACGTTCCCTCTGTGAGCAGGTGAGGTCCACCAGGTTAGCACTGGGTGGTGTCCACTCACACTCTGGCTGTGCTTGCCAGCCTCATGATCACAACAAGGCAAATGGGATGCAGACAGTGTGACTGACTACACAGGCCAAGGAACTGAGGTCCAGCTGGGCAGCTGAGCCCCATCGTGGAAAGAACAGGTCCAGAGTCTCCTAGAAATAGCGAGAGGACTGGGAGGGGCACATGGTGAGACAAAGTTGGATCTGGTGTCAGAAGGTGTTCTAGTTTCTTACTGCTGTGATAAAAACACCTGCTGATGGGACTGGAGAGATGGATCAATGATTAAGAGCAGGGACTGCTCTTGCAGAAGACCTGGGTTCAAATCCCAGCACCCACATGTTGGCTAACAACCAACCACAACTCCAGTTTCAGGGGATCCAACACCCTCTTCTGATTTCTCTCTGTGGGCATTGCAGGACATGGGTGCACTCGCATACATGCAGGCATTACACTCATACACATAAAAAGTAAAAAGAAATAAATTAAAAAAGAAAAACATTGATCAAAACCAACTTGGGGAGGAAAGGGTTTAATTGGCTTACAGCATAGTCCATCATCAAGGGAAGCCAAGGCAGGAACCTGGAGCACAGACCATGGAGAAGTGCTGCTTACTGGCTTGTTGCTCTGACCTGTGCTCAGCCTGCTTTCTTATACAACACAAGACCACCTGCCCAGGGGTGGCATTGCCCGCATTAGGCTGGGCCCTTCCACATCACTCAACAATTGAGAAAATGCCCCATAGACATGGCCAGAGGCATCTCAATGGAAGCAGTTCCTCAGTTGAGATTCCCTCTACCCAGGGGTGTCAAGTTGACAACTAAACCTATCTAGCAAAGAAGATGTAGAACCCATCTCCCAGCCAGGGAACTGTGGGGCAGAAGTAGAGGGTAGTTTATAGGGTGTCACCCCACCAGAGCATGGGGTCACCACAGAGCTGAAAGGTGGTAGGCAGGAGCCTGGGCTATGCATATTGAACACCTCCCTGGCTAATATACCCTCAACTCCTCCCCATGGAAATATATCACTTGGTCACCTGGGATCCTCAGCCATGGCAGCCTGATGCTGAATCAGGGCATCCTTGTCAATAGAGGTATCCTATAGGTACGGTGCTACACTGGCTCCAGGATTAGCCAGAACACTGAAAGCTGCCTGATCTGGCTGCCAATTTAGAGACACCCCTCAAAGGGCCCATCGGGTGACTGCAGTGACCAGCACCAGTTCAGTGACTGAGTTTGAAGCAGGAATCATAAAAATGAGCTGACACTTTGCATGTGGGGTTTAGGGCTCTCAGTTGTCCTTGGCCTGAACCCTGAACAAATGCAATTCTTCATTCAACAAATGATAAGTGTCCAGGTGCAGTTCAGATATCCAGAGTTCAGATGGGACTGGAACAGATGAAGCTCTTGTTTTCATAGGGCTGGGGATGGGCCAGACACAGTATGTCAGGTACTTCTGGCTACTTGGACAGGATGGTCAGGACAGCAGTTTGACTGATACAGAAGGACAGGAGGAAAGTAGAGAAGAGCAAAGGGGGAGCAGCTGGGCAGGCATCTGCATGACCCTGGCTTACTCTAGGCAAGACAGCTTCAGTACAGAGAGTGGTCCTCGGGGTGGGACAGTACAGATACTGGGAGCATTTTGAAAGGACGGGATTTGCTGAGGATATAATGAGGCATAGGAGGAGGAGGAGCCAGGGAGAGTCCACAAAATTCAGTGTGAACAGCTACGAAGACAGGATGGGCCTGAGACAAAAGAGGGAACAGTACAGTGCACCAGGGCCTCCCCTTGGAGTGTCAACCCTCCATTTGCTTGTGAGGTGCCTCATCACTGGCAACAGCTGGGCTTTGGGACAGCACCCCCATCATTCGGGGCAGCTGGCAGGTTGCATCTGTAATTCTAATGCACAGAAGGCAAACAGTATCACCAGGAGACAGGAGACAATGGCCAGGTGGAAGCATTGGGCTCACTGACCTCCCAGTCAGGCTGTCTGTCTGAGTGAAGGCAGCTGGAGTTCAAGGGCAAGGCTGGACCATGAAACCATGAGATACACTACAGAGTGAGGAGGCTGGACCAGGCAGAGCCTGGCAGTTGTGGAATGGGGAATAACCATGGCGAGTTGATGACACTGCCACTTTAGGTGGGGAAAAAAGGCCAGGGGATGGGCATCTTGGGTGGCAGGACAGCAGTCAAGGGTACACTGTGCTATGAGAGGGAAGTTTTGTGGTACTGAGGGCTCTGGTGTAGGGGGCATACAAGGCTCAAGGCAGACACTAACATGATTCCCACTCTGGAACCAGACCAGATTCTTAAAATGTCTCTACCAGTCTGCTTCCCACACCCAGTATAACTGTACAAGACACATATATGCCAGGCACTATGTGAGGATTAGATGAGAAGGTGGGCAAACAGAGCCTTCAGTGCAGCCTGTCCCTGGCATATCTTGGAGGCACAATTTCCACCTCCCTCTCTACTATTTCCCAAGAGACAGGCACAGGCACACTTCACCCACAACCCCCACTACCCAACCTCAGTTAGGCAGGCCCAGGATGGCCACAAGTTGCTTTTCTACTTGGAACACTGTCTTTCCTAGGGATCTGCCTTGGGTCAGGTCCACTGGGAAGGGGCAGCCAGACCCACTCCTGGGATACATGAGATAAAGGTGTGCATCCTGGACACAGGGCAGACTATCCTTCCCTGGCCGGGCAGGTGGTATGGATCCATGTCCAGCATGCTCATGTTCAGCTTGTCTGGTTCCAGGTGAGTCACCACCCACCCTCTGCTGCCCATCACGTGTTCTCTAAGCGTGGCTGGAGCCTCTGGCAGGAAATCACCATCGCCAGCAAGTTCCGGGGGAAATACATCTCCATCATGCCACTCGGTGAGCCAAGGCTTGGGGCTCCTGGAATGGGAAGCTGTTCAGCTTCAGAGGGAAGGCTGACTTGTGGCCCCTAGGAAAAGCTTCTCTGCAAGTCTGCCCACTTCCCACTTATGTCCTGGTATGTGTCCCACCCTGTCCTAGCTTGCATGGGTATTTCTCTGGTTCTTTTATTTTTTTAATGTGTATGACTGTTTTGCTTGTATGTGTGTTTGGGTATCATGTGCATACAATGCCAATGAAGACCAGATGAGGGCCTCAGATCCCCTGGAACTGGAGTTACAGATGACTGTGAGCTGCCATGTGGATGCTGGGAACCAAACCTGAGTCCCATGCAAGAGCAGCAAATGCTCGTTTTGTTGAGACAGGGTTTCTCTACATAGCCCTGGCTGGCATGGAACTTGCTATGTAGATCAGGCTAGCCTCGAACTCACAGAGATCTGCTGCTAAATACTAGGACTAAATGTGTACACACCATGCCCAGTGGCAGCAAGTGCTCTTAACCACCAAGCCATCTCTACAGCCCCATTTCCTCTGGTTCTTGACCTGGGCCTATGGGTGGACTGGCCAGAATCCCACATGAGGAAGTCATGCCTCTGACCTATGCCTGGCCTCCAGGTGCAATCCACCTAGAATTCCAGGGCAGTGGCAATCACTACGTCTGGAGGAAGAGCACCTCAACTGTGCACAACATCATCGTGGGCAAGCTCTGGATTGATCAGGTCAGTGTGCCCTTGGGGAGGTGGGGTATGTGGCTTAGGAACTGGACCCTGACCACCACCTATTCTCAATAGTCAGGGGACATTGAGATTGTGAACCATAAAACCAAGGACAGGTGCCAGCTAAAGTTCGTGCCCTACAGCTACTTCTCCAAAGAGGCAGCCCGAAAGGTAAGCAGGGATACCACCTGCAACCCCAGTAGGCCCAGCACAGAGTATGTGCTTATGTGTGTCCTATCACACATCCACAGGTGACTGGAGTGGTGAGTGACAACCAGGGCAAGGCCCACTATGTGCTGTCAGGGTCATGGGATGAGCAGATGGAGTGTTCTAAGATTGTGCAGAGCAGCCCCAGCAGCCCCAGTTCTGATGGGAAACAGAAGACTGTGTACCAGACGCTGCCGGCCAAGCTGCTGTGGAAGAAGTACCCACTGCCGTGAGTCAGGGCTCAGTGCTGGCTTTGGGAAATAGGGACCAAAAAAGAGGTAGAGGAAAAGAAGGCAGGGAGCAGGAGCCAGGCAGAGGACCACCCCTGCCTTGCCCAGCAGAAAGTATAGGCAGTCCAGAGCATTCAACCCACATATGGTAGAGAATTTTTTTTTTTTTGGTCTTTTTGAGACAGGGTCTCCCTGTAGCCCCAGCTGTCCTAGAACTCACTATGTAGACCAGGCTGGCCTTGAATGCACAGAGATCCGCCTGCCTCTGAGAATTTTATCACAAGGCTGTCATCCCAGCATAGAAGGCAGTCACCCAACAGTCCATGAACATGAAACTATCCAGTAGCAAATACTGTGTAGACGCTTTGAACAAAGTGACAGAACAGAATCCTCTGCAAAGTTACAAGAAATGAAAAACAAAACTTAAAAAGAACTTACAAGAAACTTTTAAAAAGTATTTTACTTATTATTTTTATTTTATGTGTATGAGTGTATTGCCTGCATGTGTGTTAAGTACACCTGTGTTGTGGGATGCCAGCAAAGGTCAGAAGAAGTCAGGTTCCCCTGGAACTGGAATTATAGACTGTTGTTAGCCTCCATGTGGGTACTGAGAACACAAGTCCTCTGCTAGAGCAACCAGTGCTCTTAACCATTGAGCCATCTCTCCAGCCCCACAGCCAGATTTTTAAAAGCTATTACTTACTGAGATCCAGTACTTCAACAACCAGCTCTAACAATAAGGGAGCTTGAAGACAGTCAAATGATAGCTTCCATGTGCTGAAAGACTCACTGCCAGCCTAGAATTATATACTCAGAGAATAAATGAAATTGAATACATTTGCATACAGACAAAACCTCAGTTGGCTACTATAGCCCTTAACTAAGAACTACCTTCAGGCAGAGGAAAAACTGTCCCAGATGATTCAAGATGTATGAATGAATGAAGAACAAAAAATGAGGGCTCAGATGAGGGCTCAGTAGAGATAGCTCAGTGGGTAAACGTGCTTGCTGTGCAAGCATGAAGACCTGAGTTTGGATCCCCAGCACCCATGTAAAAGCTGGGCCACACATGTCTGTAACTCCAGTGCTGGGGAGCAGACACAGGCAGATCCCAAGGGTTCCCTGACCAGCCAGTTTCCAGGTTCAGTGAGAGACCCTGTCTCAAAAAAATAAAGTGGAATAATAATTGAGGAAGATACTCAATGCCAGCCTATTGCCTCCACACTTATACACACATACACTGCACCCCCACACAGAGAGAGAGAGAGAGAGAGAGAGAGACAGTGAGACTGCACCACACACACACATGCATGCATACATGCATGAATCTAAGTGAACACTGAATAAGCAAAGACAGTAACAATAACATCTCAGTTTAAGAATACAACTGCGTTATTACTTAAGAAGAGGAATAAATGGAGAGAAACTGCTCAAAGGCTCTTGTGCTACCCAGAAGGAGGGTCAGTAACTGTTGACTGAAGTTATATAAGAATATAAATTTTGTAATTCCTAGAGTAAGCACTAAAGTAATATACTGGAATCACAGAAGGAAAAGAAAGAATTAAATAAAAATGAAGAGGAAGGAAAATAGTTAATAAAAACAATTTTCTTAGGGATGGAGACAGCTCAGTGGTAAAGCTCCTGTGTGCTTAGCATACATAAAGCCCTGGGTTCAATCTCCAGCACAGGGAAACCAAAAACAAAGTTCTCAGATTTAAAGAAAGAAATGAAAAAAAAAAAACTTGGATCAAAAGAGCCTATAGAGGAGCTGTTGGAGATGGGTCAGCAGTTAAGAGCACGTACTGCTCTTGCAGAGATCCAGAGTTCAGTTTCCCACACCCACTTTGGGCAGCTCACAACTGCCTATAACTCCAGCTCCAAAGGATCTGATGCCTCTGACCTCCTTGGGCTCCTGCACTCAGGTGCACATACCTACATATATGTACATACACACACACACACATACACACAGAATTAAAAGTTAAATCTTTTTTTAAAAAGAGCCTATAAAATGGTAAGAGGTAAAGTAAAACATAAAGAAAAATGTTCACTTAGAACATGCTATAGTCAAAATGAAGAATATCAAAGAAGGGGGCTGGAAAGATGCCTCAATGGTTAAGAGCACTTGCTGCTCCTACAGAGAACCAAGTTCAGTTCTTAGCATTCATGTCTGGCAGCTCATAACCACCTGTAACTCCAGTTCTAGGGGATTGAATGCCCTCTTCTAGCCTTCACACCTGCACTTGCACATGCACACACATATACACACAGACACACATACACATAAATAAAATAAGTCCTTTTAAAAAAGAATATCAAAGAAGTATAAAAACTTCCAGAGAAGAATAAAAGATTTCATCCAAGAGTATGAAACCAGATACCAGACTTTGTAACAAAAGTAATGGAGTAATTGTTTCAGAGTTAGGGAGTAAAATGAAATGTGAAGGTAGAGCCTTCTAGCAATCAAGCTATCGTCCAAATATGAGGCAGTTTTATACATATATACATATACATGTAGCAGGAAATGTAATCACAATACCTATACTTTTTTTTTTGGCCTTTTTGAGACAGGGTCTCCCTGTAGCCCCAGCTGGCCTGGAACTTGCTATGTAGATCAGGCTGGCCTCAGACTCACAGAGATCCCCTTGCCTCTGTCTCCCAAGTGCTGGGATTAAAGGCATACCTTACATCTTAAAATGAAGTATCACATACTCTATCATCCATTGGTGCCACTTCTATTTTTTATTTTAATTTTCTGCGTATGAGTGTTATGCCTGCATATAGGTAAGTACACCCGTGTCATGCAATACCCGCGGAGGACAGAAGAGGCTGTCAGATCCCTGGGAACTGGCGTTATAGACAGAGAGTTGTTAGCTGCCATGTGGGTGCTGGGATTTGAACCCAGGTCTTCTGCAAGAACAGTGTTCTTAACCACTGAGCCATCTTTCCAGCCCCTGGTGCCACTTCTAGATATGAAAGGAATCTATGTGCCTGCAGTCTCCAAAAGGGCAGATCATCAACAACAAAACTAGGTCATAGATTCAAACCTATCATTACAGGTTGAACATCTTTTAACCAAAAATCAAAAATACTCCAAATTCTAAATCCTTTTGAACACCAACATGAGACTACAAGTAGAAAATTCCACATCTGACCTCATGTGAGAAGTCACAGTCAAAATTCAAGGGCGGGTTGAAAAATCCAAGCACTCTGGAGGCAGAGGTGGGCAGATCTCTAATAGAGGCCATCCTGGTCTATATGGTGAATTCTAGGCCTGCTGGGGCTACAGAGAGACCCTGTCTCAAAAAGATGAAAAAAATTTTAAAAAGCAAGAACTCATAATATTGTATTAGATTACCTTCAGGATGTGTTTACAATATAGATGAAACATAAATGGATTTCCTGTTTGGTTTTGAGTCCTAGTCCCAAGATCTCATTATGTATGCACTTATGCTAAGGGAAAAAATGACTTGAAATAGCCCCATGTTTGTAAATTGATCAAATATGCTTCAAACTAATCCATAGGCCAAAGAAGATATGATGAAAATCAGAAAAGATGCTTGAATGATTCAAAGAGCATTGATAAGTGGTGGGTGGGACCTAGTACTTGGGAGTGACACATATAGCTTTGAAATGAGGATTGTATCAGAAAAAGGAAACAATGAGCTAAGCATCCATGTCAAGAAGTTAAAAAGCAAAGAGCAAAGTGAACCCCAAGCAAAGTGGAAGGAAGGATTATAATCTCACAATCAGTAAGGTAGAAAACCCTAGATAAGAACAAAGTTTTATCTCCAACTACTGGCTACATCAGGAAGCTTTGGCATGAATGTTCAAAACTGAGCCAGGGCGCATACAACCAGCGTCGCCTGCAAAAAGAGACGGCGCTACGCCATACACATTAACACCAAAGAGGATATTGGGAAACAACTTTATGCTGATAAATTTGAGAAACTGATAAAAAGGACAACCCCCGCACCCATCCCCGAGGAAAAGTCAAGCGTAGCCAAGCAGTTGCAAGTGAGTGGAGAGCATGCCAGGTGAGGGCAGCAGAGGGCAAGTTGGACTCAGCTAGTAGGTCTTGCAGGTTGGGTTCAACCAGCCAGGAAGGGGCGCTGAGAGCTGGGGGGTGCAGGAAGGGCGGCGCGGGCCGCTCACGCCCCCACCGCGCCGCAGGGAAAACGCGGAGAACATGTATTATTTCTCGGAGCTGGCCCTGACCCTCAACGAACAGGAGGAGGGCGTGGCCCCCACCGACAGCCGCCTGAGGCCGGACCAGCGGCTGATGGAGAAGGGGCACTGGGATGAGGCCAACACCGAGAAGCAGCGGCTGGAGGAGAAGCAGCGCTTGTCTCGGCGGCGGCGGCTGGAGTCCTGCGCAGCAGGCTGCGGCGGTGAGGAAGGTGAAGTCCGGCCCTAGGGGAGGGTGGGAAGGGATGACTGCCAAGAGGCGGGAGGGAGGAAGTCCCCCCGGGAAGGGTGACGTGGAGCAGGCCGGTCACACCAAGCCCACTGTGCCCGCCCAGCAGAGAAGGAGTCAGATGACTATGCGCCCCTGTGGTTCGAGAAGAAGTTGGACCCGCTGACCGGGGAGATGGCCTGTATGTACAAGGGTGGCTACTGGGAGGCCAAGGAGAAGAACGACTGGCACATGTGCCCCAATATCTTCTGATCACCACCCCTGCAGCAAATACAGGCGCCTGCACAGCCAGGTCAACTTTTTCTTTAATGCACTCAATTTAGAACTGAATGGCACATGCAGTCTCTCTCTCTCTCTCTCTCTCTCTCTCTCTCTCTCTCTCTCTCTTTCCTAAAAGGGGACAAGGATTGACCCGGGTTCTCTCCAGTCTCCCAGGTGCACCGGGTCACATGTGTCCCTTTACCATGGATGGACTTGGGCCCCATGGGCACCCCAGCTCCCAGTTACCACAACTCAGGCCGGCTGGCCGGGCCACGGGCTGCCCAGGTCATTAGCCCCAACCCAAGGAGGAATTAGTCCCTCCTAGGGAGCCTCTTTTGACTTTTTTAGAACAAACCCTCCACTTTCCAGCCATGAGGTTTAGTACATATTTTTAGTATATCACTTAGAAGACAGCTTTCCAATTGTACTTTCTTGCCACAAAATTGTCCTGGCAATAACCCCTTTTTTAAAGACATCAGGAAGCCAGACCACTTTGAGTTGGGAGCATTTTGTAGCTAACATAGCGAGGTCCTTTTGTATCTGGGGCTGCCCAACCCCCCTAAGCTCTAAACGCCCACAGAGACAGGAGGAGGACTGCCCTTGAGCTGAACAGCACATGGTCTCTCTCTGGAGGGGCCACCAATAAGCGGGGGCAGGGAGGCAGTTGGAGATAAACCTATTCCAGCTAAGGGCAACAGCCTCCTGCCTAGCCTTGGCTGTGCTGGGACAGCACCCCAGCCCCAAAGAGGCCAAGTAGGACTAGAAGGCAGGACCTATGCGTGTCCTGCCCAAGAACCAGGCCCCAAATCAGCAATAACGAATAAATCCTTCACTCAGCTTGGGCTGGTGACCCAGGCTCCAACACCTGGCCTCCCCGGCATCAGGGGATGCTTCATCTCAGCACTCTTGAAATTTTTATTTGCCTAATTTATATATAATATATAAATATATATAAAATAGCTATTTTGCTTAAATTTCTATGGTATGTGAAAGTGAAAAATGATGAAGACAGGGTGTGCCTGTCTGAGTTTGGTCTCTTGACAGCTGTGCCCAGCCGTCTCATCATACCCCTTCCGGTGGCTTCTGCCAAGCTTTGGGAGACTGAACCAAGTGGCCACAATCTAGCCCTCAGAACCTCCAACTCCAATCCTCCTCACTTCAGTTTGGCCCTGAACATTCATTGCAGGGCTTTTCTTTCTACTCCAGGACTGGTTTTTGTTTTGGGTTTTTTTTTTTTAAAGTAAAAACACCAAGTATGAAATGCCTTACAATACCCACTCCAGAGATGTGGGGCAGGATGGGAGGGGACACTGGTCTCCCCTCAGAGCTGTAGAATGTACTTCTTCCCAACAGTCTGTGACCATAATAATTAAAAAAAAATTAAAAAAACAAACAAACTTGATTTTGGAGTTTTCCACTGCCCTGTTCCAGAATGTCTGTGGCTGGATGGAGGAGGGCTGATGAAAATTACAACCATGGGGGGTAGGGGAGGGATAATTCTACTAATGCTCAAATAGCAAAAGGTGTGTCTGGAAGGGGTGGAAAGGGACCTGATAGAGTGTGGTCTATGCCAGGAAGAGGGCTCAATGGATAGAGGAGTGCCAGCACTTACCCAGGAGAGGGGGCCACAGTCTGCTAGGGGGCTACGCTGATAACACAGCTCTGGGGCATACCTGAACCCAGATCTGCCCCCCATCCAAGGGGTAGTGCTGTACCACCCAGAAGCTACCAGCAGCATCCTCCTATCACCAAGTTCCTAGAACTCTCTAGGTAGAAGCACCCTGGCAGAGGCACCTACAGCCCTCTAGTGAGGCCTGGTGAGTTTCATGTTGCCTGACAACTGTGGCCTAGGCTACTTCTGTTACCCTGTTGCCAGGCAACTCAGATCACTAGTTTCTGAGCCCTGGCCAGAGGAGCTGGTGGTTTGGCCTACTGGATCCTCCTCCACTGCCAACACTTCCAGGTAAGGGGAAGCATTGGGGCTGGGTACCACTGAGTCATCAGACCCAGGGCTCTTTCCATCTGCCTTGATGTCCCAGCACTGTAGTATCGAGCCTGGCCCTGTAAAGCTCCTTCCCCAGCCATGCTTCTCTGTCTGTGAATAGGCAACCACTGGTGAGTCCCAGAGAGGATCTGGAAGACAACTCTCACTGGAATAGGGAGATGAGGCAACCCCAGGATGGACCTGACCCAGAGGGCAAGAGAGGGAACAAGCTGTACTGGGCATAGTCCAGAGGTGACAAAGACCTGTCCACTGAAGCAAAGAGAGGGATCCAGAGAGTGTGGCACGGATTAGTAGAACTCTGAACAGGGAGTGACATCAATGCAGTGTTGTAGAAAGAGCACTCTAGCAGGGAACCAGATTGCCCTACTGTATGTAAGCCATCCTTGAGTAGGAAATATACATATATATATATTTTTAAAAGAGGGGCTTCAGAGATAGCTAAGTTGGGAAAGTACTTACCATGCAAACATAAGGACCTGAGTTATATCCCCAGAACCCACATAAAAAAAGCTGGGCATGGTAGCCTGCACTTATAATCCCAGCACTGGGGAGGTGGAGGTTGGCAGGTCCCTGGGGCTCGCTGGTGAGTACAAAGTCAGTGAGAAACACTTTTTAAAAACAAGGTAGAAAGATCCTGAGGAATGACACCCAAGGTTGCCCTCTGGTCTCCACAGACATGGGCACACACATGTACATGCATCCACACACATGCACACACATATGCACACAAATCCTTACTGGGGGTAAAGTAAATAAAGGAGGCTGGAGAGCTGGCTCTGTGGATAAAGCACTTGCTGTGTAAGTGTGAGGACTAGAGTCCAGATCCCCAAAACCCAGGTAAAAGCCAGGCAGGTATGGCAGACACCTCTAATCCCAGCATTCACAGACAGGTGAACCCGGGACAAGCTGGCTAGCTAGACCAGCTGATTCATAAGTTGTGGGTTCAATTGAGAAACCCTGCCTGAATAAATGAAGTGGAGAGTAATCAAGGAAGACACATCAACTTATGGTCTTCACATGCATGCACACAGGCACAGTGCTGACACTGGTTGGGTAAAATGGCAGATTAGAGACTGCCTTAGCATGCGTCAAAGAAGCCAGAAAAAGAAAGAGGCTTTACTCCATAGAGAGAAATAAAGATCTTAAGAAATCCAGAAAGTAAAAGGATACTGGAAAAAGAGCAGAAAAAAGATATTAAAAAAGAAGCCAGGCATGGTGGCGCGCGCCTTTAATCCCAGCACTTGGGAGGCAGAGGCAGGCAGATCTCTGTGAGCTCAAGACCAGCCTGGTCTACATGGTGAGTTCCAGGACAGCTGGGGCTACAGGGAGACCCTGTCTCAAAAAGACCAAAAAAAAAAAAAAAAAAAAAGCCAAACAGGTCACTTCCAAAAGTGCAGCGTGAAGCAGGCTGCAGGGCACCAAGGGGACCCTGGAGCAGTGAAGTAATAAACAGTGAGTGGGGTGCAGACATGGCAGCAAGGGACTCAGCAGTGTGCAAACCCAGCAACACATGGATACATGGCACTTGTGGCACATGGCGGCAGGGAGAGGGTCTAAGTGCACAGCAGTGGTTCCAAAAGCAAATCAGGCAAAGCAAGGCTTGCACGGGCCACCAGAGTAGAAGGGGAGAATGCCACGTCTTCAAAGTCAGGCAGACTAGATCACTTTCATATACAGCCATCCTGTCTCTCTCAGAAACAACACAGGCAAACTGGGTGTGGTGGCTCTCACCTTTAATCCCAGCACTCAGGAGGCAGAGGCAGGCAGATCTCTGTGAGATGGAGGCCAACCTGATCTATATAGCAGGTTCCAAGCAAAAAAAAAAACAAAACACAGGCTGACCAGGTTTGTGGGATCTCTGCTGTATTCAGCCTTCCAAGAGCTGGGACTGGCATCTATCATTTGATTATATAGCTTTACCCCTCTCTTTTCAACTTTCACTGCCCCTACTTTGCCCTACTGACCCCTTTTCTATGTACATTTCCTTCCCCTACTTTTTCTCTGTCAACCCAATACTAATCACTAGTGTTCTCCTGAACTTTTTGTTTTCCTTTTCTACTACCCAAAGTAATTATTAGTGCACACACTACTATTAGTGAACCTTTACCTCTTAAAATGATTGGTGCTTAAGGGGTGATTATTTGACTGCCACTGTAATTTCCTTGTGGACTTACATCTTTAGTAGTAAGCAATTGTTTTTGCAGACAATATTTTAATAATAGGTGAGTACTAGCAAATCATGCCTGTTGTCCCAAACACAAGTCTAGCTGAGGAAACCACCACCACAACTCCAGAGTCTAGTCCATCTTCAACAGTGCAGGCTCTCCCTTTAAAAGAATAAAAGTGATTAGCCGGGTGTGGTGGCACATGCCCTTAATCCCAGCACTCAGGAGGCAGAGGCAGGCAGATCTCTGTGAGTTCAAAGCTAGCCTGGTCTCCATAAAGAGTTCCAGGACAGCTGGGGCTACAAGGAGACCCTGTCTCAAAAAGACGAGAAAAAAAATAAATAAAAGTGATTTGTGGGGCTGGAGAGATGGCTCAGCGGTTAAGAACACTGTTCTTGCAGAAGACCCGGGTTTGAATCCCAGCACCCACATGACGATTAACAACTGTCTGTAACTCCAGTTCCAGGGGTCCAACAGCCTCTTCTATCCTCCGTGGGCATTGCATGACACAGGTGCACTTACCTACATGCAGACAGTATGTGCATACACATAAATTAATATTTTTAATGAATTTTTTAGAAGAAGAAGCATTTCATTACAACAGAATTGACATATTCAAAAACAATTTTCTGGGCTAAGATGCATCTTTTTCAAAATTGGCTGTAAATTTTTAGATTTACAGTTAAATTAATACAGTTAGTACTAACTTATACAGTTAGTACAGTTATTGTACTTAGTATAAACCCTATAAGACATAAAATTAAATGAACTTTTAATCTTTAAAAAAGATCTCCAAGCCAGGTGTGGTGGCACACACCTGTAGTACCAGCACTAGGGAGGCAGAGGCAGGAGGATCTCTGTGAGTTCAAGGCCAGCCTCATGTACATATCAAGTTCCTGACTAGCTGGGACTACAAGGAGATCCCGTTTAAAAAAGA